AAATAATTTATGACACACAACAAATATAAATCCCAGTAGAACAAAGATTTATAGGAAGGGGGATAAACCAAGCTCAATTAACCAGATAATTGTAGGTAGTATCAAACTGAAAGGAAAAACACGCAGTGTGACAAAGATTAGTAATACATCAGAGGATTGGGAAAGTTTTTATAATCAACTAGTATTGGCCAAAATAAATGGAGAGAAAATAAACTTTGAGGATAAACTTACAAATAATATCAAGACAGAGTGCAAGAGCTTCTTTAAATAAGGAATGAGTGAGGCCACAGAGAACATTTACCCCTTGGAGATTGCGGCTGGGGAAATAATAATGGGAAACCAGGAAATGGCAAAGGAGTTCAATTGATATTTTGCATTGGTCTTCATGGTGGAAGACTCTAATAGCATTCCATAAATACTAAATAGTTGAGAGGAAATGGAGAGAGAGAAAATAAATACAGCATCTAACACTAGAGAAAAAGTACAAGGGAAATTAATAAGGCGTCAAGGCTGTGGTTTCCCTGGACCTGATGGGATGCATCTTAGTTTATTAAAGGAAGTAACTGCAGAGGTGGTGGATACAAGGGTAGTAATGTTCTAAGAATCCTTACATTCTGGCAAAGTCTCAGAGGAATGGAAATATACCACTCCTATTAATCAAAAAATGTTAGTATAATATCGTGCAGTAGAACAGAGCATTTAGAAATATGTAACCAAGCAGATCCACCATGGCTTCATGGAGGGAAAATCATCCCTGACAAACTTATGACAGTTCTTTGAAGAGGTAACAAGCAGGGTAGACAAAGGGAAACGGGAGATGTAATATATTTGGATTTCCAAAACATATTTGATAAGATACTACACACATTAGGCTGTGGGTAGGATACCAGCGTGGATGGAGGATTCACTAACTTATCGAAAACAGAGTTAGAAAGGGGAGGCATTTTTAGGATGGCAACCTGTAATAAGTGCCACTAGGATTAGTATTGGGAATACAATTTTTTTTACAGTATATATTAATGACTTGGATGAGGGAAGTGAATGTATTGTAGCCACATTTACAGGTGACACACAAATAGGCAAGTGGTGATAATGATATGAAGAGTCCGCAGAGGGACATAGATTGAGTGGGTAAAAACTTGACAGATGGAAATGTGAATTTATGCATTTTGACAGGGAAAGTAGAGGAGCCAAATATTAGTTAAATGGAGAAAGACCACAGAAAACTGCAGTTAAGAAGGACCTGGGAGTCCTCGGGCAAAGTCGCAGAAAGCTAGTGTACAAAAGTTTAGCAGGTATTAGTGAAGGCAAATATGGAAAGGTTGTTCCCCTTGCAAGTAACTCCAAGAGCAGTGGGCATAATCTCAGCATAAAGAATTGGCCAGTCAGGATGGAGATGAGGAAATTAGTCTGAAGATACTAAGTCTGTGGAACTCTTTACACAGAACCCTGGGTTGTTGCGTATAAATGAAGCTGAGATAGATTGATTCCCTTACTAATTAGAAATCAAGGGTTATTGGGAAAAGGCAGGGAAGTAGAGTTGAGGATGATCAGATCAGCCGTTAACTCATTGATTGAGGGAGCAGATTAAGCATGGCAAATAGCCTGTGTCCCTACATCTTATGATTTAAGTGGGTTGGGAGGAAACTAGCTAACCATTCATAGTAGTTTTACTAACAGATCATAAGGTAACAGAAGTATAATATACCAATCCTTATTCACAATTTGAAAACTTATGCACAAGTATTCGAGACTAATGTTCCAAGGGCATAGGGAAAAGTGTATGCCATTCGGTCCTTCTACCTATTCTGTCATCCTGTTTGATCTAGCTGTGTGTCAAATCCCTTTTACATGCATTTGCTCCATATTTCTGATCTCCTTACCAAACCAAAAGATGTCAATTAATGCAGTATTCATAGCCTTTTAAGGGAGGGAGTTCCTGATTTCTGCAGCACAAAATCTTTGCTGACCTCATTACACAGTGGCCTGATTCTAATTTTCAGATAAATCTGTTGTTTTTGATTTCCCTATTGGGAAATGCTTTCAATCTACCCTTGAAATTCACTTTATCACTATGGATAAGCAACAAGGACTAGAACTGTTGTTGAAAACTAGATTATGCTTGAATATTGATGTATATATGACAGTGCAGTCATCAGAAAAGTAACTGAATGATATTTCTTCAACATAATTGAACATGGCATTTTCCAGAAGGAACAAGTGTAGGCTGAGATTAAGATTGAATAGTTGGTATGGATGGGAGCAAACATGAAGTCAAAGAGGCTCATGGCTAAAGGCATGTAATCAAAATCTTGACTGTTACTGTAAGATTATTAACTTTAGTGTCCAGGATCGTGACGAATAGGAGATTGAATGTGTCAAATTATACTGTGCTTTTTGTTGTACTTGTAGCACAACAGCATCTTCAAACGTTGAGATTTTTTTTGTTTGTCTAAATGCCACCTTATCAATCAGTTGTGCTTGCTTCCCCAATGTAAAATCCATTTTCCTGACGATCTACTAATCTCAGCTTGACTGATTTTAATCAAAGGCTCAAAAGCCAATTACAACAATCATATTAGACTCTAGTTCCATTCCATTACAGCATACCTGTCACATATTCATATCGATAGAAATCAACAAATGGTTATGTCCTTCTGTTTACTTTTCTCACAAAACAGGAGGATAAGGGCTAAAGTCTGCATCTCATGTATTGGTGACTTTAGATAGGGGATGTAGGAAAAAGTGGGGAGTCTGATCTAAAGGAGAACACATCCCCTGTTGCACTAATGTAGATTTTAATCTATGCATAGTGAAAATATCATAATAAATTTAAATTAAATCTCAGGTGAGTTCACTCTTCAATTCAACGCAAGAAGTAATGATGCACAAACTATCTTTCCAATAGCACCAATTCTCACCAAGAATAATGCAAAAACTGGACCGATTGGGCCGTGGCTAATTACTCCACTGCTTTCCTACCTCACTAACAGTTGTTTTATCCAATGTTCTTCGTGGTCAATCTTTATCCAATGTATGTATTGCTGATCTATTGATCTGCTCTTCTCAGCATGTGGATCTGATTTCTTCTCTTCCCTCTGCTCCCCCACCCCCTCAAAAATAGTTCTAATAGTGCAGAATCTGTTAGGCTGGTCTAGTTTTCTCATCTTCATTTGGCACAGGACATGGAAGAAGCTTTCAGAAAGGTTCACCAGAGACGGAGAATCGTTAAGTTGCAGTTTATTTGATCTGGTGTCTCCAGGTGATGACAGACTTTGAGATTTTCTTTGATTCAACAAGTTTATAGCTGTGGTGTTTTCAAGGGCACCTTTAACTTGCCACAGAATGAAATATTGGGCCTATACTCGAATGTTTACCCATTACCTTCTCTGCTGCACTGCATGTCTGTGTGTTGCTGATTGTGAGCTTGTGTATTGTGATATTCCGCTTGTCCTGCTGGTTTTACCAGTTAAAATTACCTTACCATGCAAAAAGTTCTTTTGATGAGTAGCAGGGGAAGATTTGACACTTGGTGTTATGCATCATGGTTCCATTGTGTTGTAGAGTTTCGTTGGATCGTGGTGATTCCCCCCACCTCCCACTGTCTTCACCATTGAAGTGTTGCATCTTACACTTTGCTTTTAAAAGCATTACTCACCTTAAGTGATTATTGGTCCATTTTACTTTAGTGCAGTTAAAGGTATCTTCGTAGTATTCATGTGCTCATGTCTTTAGAATGGCAATTGTTGGTGGAACCCATCCAGATAGAAAAGTAAAACTTAGTGTGTAACTGCAACCCATTTATACCCACTTGTACCTGTCTGCTTAACATAGAATATTATGCACTAGTTTTCTCTTAATTTTGGAATTATTTATTCAGTTTTTCTGTTGTAATGCTAACCATTTAATGCCCTCCATTTCTTGGGTTACTTTCTACCCTTCTGTACAAATTTGTGGTATGTGTTTGACAAATGCTGTGACTAGCATTTTAATCCCCTTTGTTAGCCTGTGAATGCACTTAAACCATAGGAATGTGTTAACACTGTTAATTAACCTCAAAAGTAAGATCAGTGGTAAGGCTGGGCCTTGGTACTCCATTGTGTTGTATCCAATGTGGTAAGATGTGTGTAGGTATTTCGGGATTCAAATGTTTCCATTACCATCTAGGCTCATGTCTAGTTGGGCTACTTGCTTTTCCTGACTTGAATGAGCAAAGTTTAAAGACACCTAGTTCCTGAACAGTGTAGACAGAGGCTTTCATTCTGGTCAATTGGCCATTCCTTCAATTGTGAAGTTGTTCACCACTGTTGAAAGTTTGGGTGGAAGACAATAATATTCCAAGGACACATTTGCCTTTGTATAGTCCAGTCCTTTGAAACTGATTTGTTTACCATATCTTTTCTACAGCCTGTTTCACCTGATTTATGTTTTGCAACATGACAGTCCATTTGATTCTCTTTTTACTTTTTGACTTGTATTTCAGTTTCTTTTAAGAACTCCTCTAATGTCCTAAACCTTAATGTTAAATTGGGTTTTATAATAAGATGCTTCCAATTTTTGGTGTGGCTTGTTAGTGACCTGTTCAGATGTTCTTGCCTTCCAGCTGGTGGCAGGAATTTTGTTCCAAATTTTGCTGTTAAAGGAGAAATTTTAAACTTACTTAGCTTAAAGAATGGAATGTCACTAAACCACCAATTTGTTGTCCTCCAAATCAGGCATTGCCCATTTTAACTACAGCCTCCATACCAATCATGGAAAAGCCATATCTTTGTTGGAAAGTTTTTGTGGAACAACTAATTTTTACTTTTCTTCATTTGTCATTTCCAGTTGTCTTTTTTTAATTTACAGCTTCCACTGCACTCAGTCCCGGCCACTTAATATCAGCAATATCTATGACCTCCATTCTCACCGCACACTATCTGCCAAAAAGCAATCCCATTGTTCATTACCAAGACCAAACGTTTATCTGACTTTATCTTTTTGGCTCCTCTGTCCTGCAGATCAAAGTGGTGAATGCGTTCCGCAGTTCCTTGTATGAGGGGATAGAGAAACCGGAATCTCGAAGCTCCATCCACAACTTCATGACCCACCCAGAATTTGGAATGGACGATGACGAGCCTCGGATCCCACTGATTGATGAGACTGATGTAGAAATCAATGGACTTGCCAACTGTGATGCCCCAAGCCCACCCAACAAGAATAACAATGCTGTTGACAGTGGAATTGGCCTACCCCTCACAGACGCTAGCAAGCTCGCCTCTTCCAGTCCAGGAAGCCCCTTACACAGTCTAGAAACATCGGTCTGAACCTCTTTCCTCAACAGCCCCCACCTCTACCACCCTCAAAAACCCCCACCCCACACACACTTCACATGGATTTCTAATCCATGAACTTTCAGCTTTCACACTACTTGGTCTTGTCTTGCAGGAAGCAAAAAAAAATTGAATGGTGGTTGGCAAATTGATGGGAAATCTGCAGATCCTAAAGCATTTTATGTAGGATGAGTGAATGTTTCTGGCAATATGCCATTTGAACGTGAAACACTATCTTAAGGTTTTAAAACACACCAATTGTCATGCCAGAAGAATGTACAGAATGGTGAGAATTAATGGAATTGAAAGTTATTTATGTTGACTTTTACTTCTCCTATCACCAGCACTTTGGAGTTTACAAGACTTCTATTTCAATTTATTTAAATTGAAAAGCCACAAATTTCAATAACAGTGAAATGAAATGCCAAAAAAAAACAAAAATCGCACATTGCCTGGAGTGTGTAGTTTCCAGTATGAGTAATGGGAATTGATTCCACAGTTTGGTTAGTGTAAAGGGGCAGCAGGGAGGAAAGACTTAAACTTATTTAAATTATTAGTTGTTAGTTTAACATGGCTTGCTGATGACCTGTGTTGGGTCTCTTTTGCAGCCCACTGCCAAGTGGCGGCTTCATTTCACTGAAGGAGGCAAGTGGCAAAATCTCCTAAATTTCAATGTGCTGGTTGTTTGCTTCACATCACTTGTACTCTAAAACTGTCTTCTAGTCTCCTAGCAAGGTGTGATCCATGTCCACAATAGACTGCCTGGTGCAAGTGGTCAGCAGTGATGTTCTAGTCTCAATGACAAAGCTGTTCAAAATCCTTTTAAGACTATCTTTGTATCACCAATTTTAGATTATTTGCAGGGTTGGGGTTTGATTGAGGTGGGGAGGGGATGGGGCAGAGAAATTGTGGCACTCGTGTTTTTTCGGTTGGGCACGGTGACCGATTTCTCTATAATCGTTGTTGACTGCCAGACTTTTGGCTTCCCATTAAAATTGAGTTGAAGCAAGATGTCTAATCATTGTCGATGTGCTGGGGTATGGTGACGTCAGATGCATACAGATGCGTTCTGCTTTCTGACAAGGTGACCAATGTTTGAGACTAAAAGTCTAATGAGGCAGTTGACAGGAAATCTTTCAGTCCAACTATTATAATTGATGTACAGTAGAGCTACTTAGATCCTTCTCAGACATCAAGATCAGTAACTTTCTAAATTTACATTTGGTTTATACCCTTCTTCAACAAAAACATAAAGCCAAATGGGATCAAAATTTGGTACGAATTTGGTTTGGAATGTATGTTTCTGGCAGCTTATTTGCTACTTTTCACTTTTTAAAGCTTGTTGCAGGGCTTCAATTCCTCAATGGCAGTGTTGTCTGTTTAGTTCTAATTTTGTAATGATACATACACTTAAACTAGAATAAAAGAATGGCATTCACTTAACTGGTAGGCAAAGGGAGGGAAGCATAATGGCATATCATGATTACATTTGAATTTGTGACAAAGGTTTCTCTCTCTCTCAAAAAGAAGCTTCTATTTAAAAACTTAGCAAGCCTGATCTCTTTATCATACACATTAATTTATATAACCATTTAACATGTTCACTTGCCTGTATTTGGTTCTGCACATGACACTTCCTGAAATATTGGCTATGCTTTGATGCCTTCATAATTCAGTGAAACAGATGATAATTAGTAATGCAGCATTCTCTGAATAAAGTGATTAGGCTAAACTAAAGTGAAGTTTTCGGATGCGGAGTTACTAAGTAATCAAGTATTTAGACGTTTTGCTTAGGCAGTGACTTGTCACGTTAAAAATTTGAGTAATGGGGTGAAACCTCGCGACATCATGCAGAATTAACAAAGTACAGAACTAACAGTACAGAACTTTGAATGCGGGCACATCCCCTATGGATCAATTACTTGATGAAGTGGAGCTGTTTTAGGTGATGGTACTAGATTTTGTATTTAGTCTCTTGCCTGTGCGTTAGTTGAGTTGCATGTTTGAGGTACTTTTCCTCTAAAATATTGTCTAAAGTGATTCCCTACAACCCACAACCCTTGGCACCTTTTTAAATGATCATATCTGCAGAGATACAATGTATTACTGCATACAAGCAATATTTCTGACACTTTTCCTAACCAAAAACTTTGAGATATTGGTAAACACAGATTTCAAATGGTCCTCTTTTTCCATAGTACTAGGATGGGTGATGGTGTAGTATAGGGCAGCTGCCAAAGTTGATTTTAAAGTCCCCATGAGGTGTACTGACAAAAAGCAGTTTTTGTCTACACTAAAATAAGCAAGAGAAAAGTTGTAATTTATCTTTTATCATAAAATTATATTCTACAGACCAACCAAAAAGGGACACTACAGCTTTAAAAGGACAATGTTAAGTTATAAAAGAATGTGATATTTTAACTTTCACTTAACTATGAAGGAAGTGAAAGGATATTTCCTGTTACCACTATGCACTAAATGTACCTTTTTTAGTTCAAATTGTTTGTACCTGAACCAAAATCACCTCTTTGCATCTCCTGTTGGCAAAGTTGTTGAGGTATATGTTGCATAGTTTTGTTGAAGAGGTGGAGCCTATGATTGTTGGAAATTATTCCAATTCCTCCACTCAGTTCACAGCTCCACCTTATCACAAAGCTGCAGTAGATACATTTCACCATTCAGTTGCCGTTTCACACTTGCATGGTAGAATGTTGAAAAGGGACTACAATATTGGTTAACAAAGACAGCTTTCCTTATTAGTTAGTAAGAAAGGAATTGGAATGTATAAATTGAGCAAACCCTCATAGAAATACATACAAACTTGTTTTTAATTGACCCCAACCAACAAAGTAAAACCTTTAACTGTTCTTATTTAATCCGGTAAGAGCAGTGCTGCTGGCCTATTAAAGCTGCTGGCCAAAATTTGGAATCTAAATGGAAGAGCCCAGCCCATAGTTTTCAGATCATTGTTGCATTCAACATTTTCAATCTATTTGCTAAAAGTTTCACTTCAGGAAGTTTTGTGTAAGGATAATTTTTCCACGTAAGCTCTCCATGTTCTGCAACTTCTACTTGGTTATTGAGTTTTGCAGGCTGCTGAAGATGCAGCATCTAATCTGACTGCTCCTGACCTGCTCTTAATGTTTATTTAAGATTTTGTTTTAAGGAAAACCTTTAAATCTTTTCTCAGTCGTGCGGTGGAGCATCTAAATCACAGGTATTTGTTTCATTTTAAACAAAACACCACCCACTCCCACACCCCCCCTCCAAAAAAAAACAACACCTTTTAATTATAAATTTGAACAGACAAGAGAAATTTCTATGGCTGTTCCTGCTATAATAGGTTTGCAATCTTCAACTCTCCTGTTCCCATAGAGAAGGTAGGCGGAGATGATATTAGGTGTCTGGTAAAAATAATAGTAGTTGAAACTATAGTTGAAACTCTCAATTAGGGTAAGAAAATCTAATCTTCCATATATATACTTACACCAGTATTGCGTTGTACAATAGGTCCTGACCTTTATAAAGATGGGCAAGGTGATTAGAAGCTGATGCGAGAGCTGTAATATCCATATCTGTTGAAGTCCAATGGTGTAATGCATGTAAACATTCTCTAAGCATGGACTCTTGGAGTCTATCTGAAGCAAAAGGTCATTATCCAGATTTATGAAGGCTAGTTTTCAGTTCAAGAGTTTGAAACCTCTAATCATTGAGATGGGGATACCCAATGGTCTAAACAAGAATTGTTGTAAATTTAATTTTGCAATGAATAAATGCAGCTTCACCAGCATTAAGGTACTTAAAGCATTTGATTAACAGAGCAGTTGTTCTGTGCCAAAAGATTCCAACATGAAAGAAGCAAGATTCAGTGTTCCATCAGAAGTACATTTATTACTCAAATTCAACCAAAATTGCGTGTGCAGCAAGTTCAAAATCTGATTGGTCTGCCTTTTATATTGTAACATGGAACGCAATTGACAGACAGCTGCAAATCTGTGGGGAAAAACAAGTGTTTGGTACCTATTAAGTAAGTAGGAAGAAAATGGTTTTCAGGTATTTATTGATGCAGTTAGTAGTACAGATGCTGTCATCTGTTGTCCCTATAGAGTACACCTTGTAGCTTATACAAAACAAATGAATCCTTTTTTTAAGTAAAAATTAAAATTTTCTGATGCTTAATAGTCTCCACATGTGAAGGCAAACTTTTTTCTGTTGTTATTGAAATGTCCTTTTAAGAGCACCACCCTAGTCTATTGTTTAAATAAAACACTTGAGCCAAGAATGGACTCTAACTACCATTGCAGTTACTGATTTACATATTTCTACAGCCTCGTAGAAGTAATGCGATAATGGATTGTAGTTATCGAGTGTTGTTGAACAGTTTATTTTCATGTACTTGAGGTTTATGCACATTCTTGTGTGTATCTGCACTTCCAATTGACATCACTCTAAAACTGTGTGGACTGTGAATTCTTCTGCTAATGGTAGGTTTTCTCTCTGTGCACTAATTTGCAGTAAAGCTAAGAAATTACTGCAAGAGATCGTCTTTGAGCAGATTATGTTGGGGAAAGAGTCGGAATAAAAATCATTGGCAAACCTTTTCAGTTTTTTCAGTCATTCAAAACAAGGGCCATTTTTCAGTTTGAATTGTATTGCTACTTTGTGAATGGTCTCAAAAGTCATCCCACGGCATCAGCTGGTTTCCTGTTACCTAACAGTGCCGGTAACATGATGCCACGGATTGGCAAAAAAGAGCTGCCTCGTGTTTAGTATTCAAATCGCTCTAATTTCCTGGCATTTTAACTTCTGACACTTTTAGACAATCCATCATTATCTGCTTCTACTCATTAAAATTAAACTTCCAGTCAAACTTTTGAGTTTGTTTCTGGCTGGTTAAATGCAGCATCTCATCGCCACGTCTTGAGGTTTTCTTCCAATGTCTTTTATTACTTCCCTTGTCACTTCCAGTGTTTATAAATATCCCTATCAATTTCAATCAGCATGCACACAGATCATGTTGAGTTGAAAAGAATTATTCCTTATCTGACCTGACTTTCCTCATCTCCCACGTTTCTATCTCTCCTGCACAGACTTGAAATATTGAGAGGCTGACCTCGCAAGCTGTGTTTTTCACTGCTTTATTTCCTTGCATCTAGGCAATTCTCCCATGTAATCACAAAGGCCTCAAACTACAGAAGCATTTCAAAATCCAAAAGAAGAGCTTTCACACTATAAAAATGCCAACAATTACTGAACACTTATTAAACCTTTTAACAGTTTGAAGGCTATTTAAGGTCTTTCTCTTCTCCATCTCTCCCTCACCACCATTCCCCCGCCCCGCCTCCAAAGTATCAAATTGAATTCAGAGCTGGATCATCTCCTCCTGCCACCCCGAAAAACCCCAGGTTCGGATTGATCGGTAATAGAAAGTTTTTTTTAAAACAATAAATTAATTATAATTTTATAAAATGTAATAATGCTCACCTGCTTCGATCTCCATGTACCTTGACCAAATCTTGACTTCAGGATAAACCAATGCCACAAGCATTCTGTCTGTCTTAGTTGCTGGCTGTTCCAAGGAACGTGCGTAATTTCTAATTCAGAACAGTCCACTTTACAAACTAATTTAATTGGAAGTGTGCAATTCAGAACGATGGTGTGTATTAATACAAGTTATGCCGGAGGCTGAAGTTTTCCTTTTAAATCAGTCATTTCTGTGATGAACTAAACTGATCATGTGCTCAAAAAATGTTCACTTTTTCATTTGGAGACATATCACTTTCAATGGATATCTGCCGTCCTTCCTACTGCACTTCAAGCAGAAGCTGGTACAACTGACGGTGTGATGAGAGACTCCTGGACATTAATTATCATTGGATGAAAAAAAGTGCAGTAAAAAATAAATAAATAGCCTTCTTGGTGGGTTGTGGGCTGCCTTGTGACAATAGCAGTATTACATTAAGTTTTCTTTTTTACAAAGTAAATCAAATGCCTTTTATAAATTTAGAAATGATGACTATGAAGATTAAACAAAAGGCAGTTTGGAAAAACAGGTTTTGATTCCACTAAAAATCCACCTAATATGGAAAGTGGTATGTTTCCAGTTTTGGGACCACAAGCATGACAAACTATTTTTAAATTATGTATGAAAATTGTCTGCAATCCCCATCTTCCCTGGCACATCTTTATCTCATTGGGTAAGCTGTTTGAACAGTGTACACTTTAATTACCAGTTTCCTAAATGTATGGTCTTGTAGAGCAAGAACTTGTGAAGCACAATCAAATACTTGGGACTGACCTGCTCTGTTATAGTAAATGATCGATAAAAGGTGAAGAACCAGTTAAAGTGGTCACGAAGTGGTGATTGTAGACTGCCAGTTTCCTGACAGCAGCTTTTTGAGGAGATTTCGATCAACCTTGGCCTGACCTAGAAACAAATTATCATCATAGAATCATACAGTATAGAAGAGGCACTTCAGCCCATTGGGTCTGTACCATTTTGTTAAGCTAATATAAAATTTATTATATAGATATATATAATGCATCTGGATGTTGTCTACGTGGGTTAGATTTTTTTCAAATGAAGTTGAAGCTTTTTCTGTGTGCTACATCTGTTGCTGATCAACAAGAGGCACTTGAAACTTGTGAAGCCATGCTTACAGTTAATGATTTGGGATTTCAGAAAAGAAACTAATTTTATAGGATGTATCAATGCTAGCCTGCATTGATCTTATGTACCTTGACCATATCAAGGTGTCAGGAAGAAATCTACCAACAAATGCTTAACAGTAGAAGCACTTGAATGATCTAGACTATTCTAAAATTAATGGACTATAATGTAAGACACTATTCTTTCTCTATTCAATTTGACATTAACTGACGCAAAGTAAATGACTGACTTTTTTTTCCTGTATTCAGTCCCTTGAATCTTAACCATTATTCTTGCAGTTTGCATAATTTTTTGTTTTTGAAATCTTTGTGTTAAGCAGGAAAAAGAATTTACAGAAAATGGAGATATCAGATTATGTAACAGGATATATGCATGTTTCTGTCACAGTGCAGAGTCATCACTTTGGTAACAAATCCTTGATTTGATGATTATTGGTAGTCATTTTTATTTTCAATCTGTAGACAGCCACTTGGGACATCCTTGCTACCATAATAAAATTGTGGTCTTTTTATATATACATTTTGTTGGTATTAAAATTTGTCTAAGAATTTTGCTTTATGCATAACTTCGTTTCTACGTTCTAAAATGTTTGATTTTCTTGGCTTAATCTGAAAGTGGGCAACAGTAGAACAGTTTTTTTTTTAAAAACAAACACACTATGGCTTAAGTTATTGAATAAAAAGTATGGTGCTGTAGCTTTAAGGTATATATCCTGTTTGATAAGTTTAAAAAAATAGTGCAGCTTCGTTAACTTATGCCTTGAAAGATGGGATACTTATTAACGCTATTGTGTGTTTTTCTTCATCAAGCAAACAGCACAGACTTAGTACAATTTCAAACGCACATTACTAAGTAATATCTTGGTTGCCTTTTTTCAACTTTAAATTGTGAGCTAAGGGAATCCTGTGAATAGCATATACACCTAACTCTTCTGCCTTCAATTAAAAACAATAAACCTATGTTCCAAAAAGTGTTTACAACTAGTATAAATTTTGAATGAAAAAGGCAAAAGTGTTGCAACAATATCTGTCATTCATGTCCATTTTCATCTGATTCAAGGGAATTCTTGCTCAGTTGGGAAGGCATTGTGGTATAAAGAAATGAAATAAGACTTTGGAAGGAAGTCTTGTGATGCAATTCCATTGTGCAAGTGAATGTAGAAAATGTATTTTTTGGTTCTGGACAATTCCATCCTTCAATAAATACACTCGTGAAGCTAAACTATTTCTTTTAGAGCAGAGGAGAGCAAGATTGAGGTATCCAGTAGCTAGTGTAATACACACTGGTATTTTTGTAAAAAAAAAGAAAAACTTAAAAATTTTTAGAAAATGACTGAATAATTATGTGGTATGCATGACTTACTGTGGTGGATCAGAGCAATATGTACCCTGGTGTGTTTGCCACATTAGAGTTCAGCTTGGAGTGCTGATGCTGTATCTTGCATTTTGATATTTTTCTCTTATTACCAGTGACATAACCTCTATGTAAAATGTTTTGCATGTATTTATATGGTTCTTGTGATGGAATGAATAGTCAAATTAGCTTCTTCCAGAACACACAACAATCTGACAATACATTCAGTTGTAAAGCAAAAACAATTTTAAAAAATTGGCAATGATTTATCAAACTTTAAATGCGTGATTCTAGAAGCTTCAGAGTATTTTTTTACAAGCAGCCTGCATTTGTGAATCAAGAATAATGTATCCTGCAATCTTTGTGTATTAAAAGAAAATAATAAATATTTCTCCATCAGTTGTTTATGGATAACTTTTTTATCCTGTTGTAAATAAACTCATTTTTTTGTTTATTTTGAACTATGCAAATGGGTCCGTAACTGTTTTCTTTTTATTTTCTCTTCCATTCAGTCTGTGTTTTGGTGGAATGTGTCTTGTTTTGGAAGATGTGTAAACCATTTTGTAGTAAATGAACATGTAGAATGCAGTCTCTCCCGTTCCTGTCAAGCAAACTTCAGACAAAGATGTCAATTGAGTAAATACAAATAAAGAATCTGGGGGAATGGAAAACGATTGTGTGTCTCCATTACTGGTGGACTGTGCCCTGGATCCAGTGCCTGGCTGAATTTGGCTTAAAGTTGAATTATTGTGTGAGTGAAATTGGCAATGAAACTTGCAGTAAATGTCCAACATACAGATTCGTTCAAGCAGCTGAAGTAACTCATTTCTGCAATGGTTAAATAGAAATATTAAAACCTTGTAATTTGTAAATTAATGGAATGAGCATTGCTAATGCACAAAGCTGACAAGTATGTAAATACTCAGCAAGATGATAATTAATATTTCAGGTCTGTGATCTTTCTGCACAACTGGCAAGGACCTAATGTCTTTTTATGCAGGGGAAATGGGAAGGTTGAAGAAAAGAAACAAAAGGGAATGCCCATGATAGTGGAAGAGGGGAGAAATTAAATGGCAAAGAAGCTGGTTATGCTGAACCAAAGGGAGTGGAAATGGGTCAGGAAAAAACAAACACTAGTTGTGCTTAGAAGAGCTGTGAATGGCAGAATGATGAACAGTTGTCATCTAAAAGGAAAAACTGAAACCAGTGAAGAAGGAAATGAAAGGGGGCAAAAAATTTCAGCTTGTGTAATTTATTAATTCTGTCTTGTACTAATCAAAAGATGATGCTGTTCTCTGAACTCAACTTCATCAGAACACTACAGGTAGAGAATTAAAATAAGTGATTACACATTTCCCCCCCCCCCCAAAGTGGTTCTCTGCCAACCCAAGGAGCAGTACCTCATCTTTCAAGTCATTAAAAGTCAATTTCCGTTGGTTTGGACTAATACAATTTTATAAATTCCAGGTGCAACCTTCACAATTTGGGCTGACTGTTAATTTTGAGTACTGAGGGACTAGCTGCTCTGTTAGAAATGAAATTTCTGTGTGGCCATTGGAAATCTTCTGGCTTCAGTGGAAGGAAGCAGGGATCTTTCTCAGTCTCTGATTAACATTCCTACCTTGCTGACATCATCAAATCCACTCATCATCCCCTTGTAATTCATGGCCTCAAAGTGGTTAGAACAACAACAACAATTCTGAGGAAGGGTCACCAGACCTGAAACGTTAGCATCTGTGAAGGAAAAAAAAGAGTTGCCAGACCTGCTGAGCTTTTCCAGCAACTTTGTTTTTGTTCCTGATTTACAGTAGCTGCAGCTCGTTCCCTTTTTAATTTCAAAGTGGTTAGTGTTTAGTAATTTGCTATGCACGAAATGTTGTCTAATTATATCTATAAAAATGGAAATGTTCCTTGTACATTTTGATCACTGTAGGGTAATGGATTTTTGATTTACTAACGTTACTTGCTGCTCACCATCTACAATCTTCCTCACGTCACACATACAATTACAGACTTAACTGCTAATCTATTTGTAAGATTGAACAGAGAGATTTAGAAAAAAATCTAAATTTAAATTGAGGGGAAAGCAAACAGGTGATGAAGAAGTAACCAAGATTGGGACCCTTGCCAACACTGCAGCTGCCCAGAATTATTGCAGCAGGGGTTAAGAAAATGGGAACCCAGGTCTAGAGGAGGATGGGGTAACAAGTTACTGTGGTCTTGAAACCAGCAGAAGCCATCCTGTCACTTGGACTAATGTATTGCTGCCTCACAGTGCTGGGTTCAATTATAGTCTTGTTCAACTGTCTGTGTGGAGTTTGTACATTCTCCCCTTGTCTGCGTACAGTGTGTAAAGATGTGTAGGTTAGGTGGGTTAACCAAGATGCTTTTTGGAGGGTTGGACTTGACATGATGAGCCAAATGGCATCTTCCTGCACTGCAGAGATTGTAAGATCCTATCTGTATATTTCCTAACCCTACAATGTTGTTGGCAGCTACAGCAATTCATACTGTCGCTGCCACAGCAGGGCTCTTGTAGAGTAGTGGTAGTGTCCCTGCCTCTCAGCTAGGAGGCACTTAAATAACATCATTGGGCAGGTGAACAGAAAATATCTGCAGCTGTCACTGGTTGGATTATTGCAGAAGAGGGCATTAAACAGGCTTTGGGGTTGTTCTGGTAAAAGCTCACCCACCTAAAACTTTGCTTTTTACCCTAAAAGATGCTCCTTGACCTTTTAAATATTTCCAGCATTGTTTTTAATTCCAACAGCCACCATTTCACTTTCATTTTAGCATTGGATGCTGGTTGGGACTAATACCCAGTTTCAGATTTCTTTTCTCCTTTCTTCAGCATTAGAAGTTTTATAAAATTAACTTGCACCAAAGAAGCCACACTCTAGTGATTTGATCAATAGCCCCTCCAGGAAAGAGAGTATGTAAAGTTTCAATATTGGAATTAAAATAGTCTATCCCTCCGCAGGCCAGATGCTTCAAAGGCAATTCGAGAAATAAGAGCACAATAATTGACATACAACCATATAATTATGGTCATTCAGTTTACTGTACTTTGTTCAAGAGATATCTATTAGATAAAACATTGATTTTGTGTAGTCATGTGGTTGCGGGCACAGATAGTGAGCCAAGACTTTCTTCAGGATTGTAGAAATGTGAAGTTTTTAGCTGCCATCTAGCAGTCTTTGTTTGGTAGATGATCACACGAGTAAGTGGACCAGATCATTCCTCAATCTTCCATATTTAAAGGAATATAGACCTAGTTTATTCATTGTGGTCTCAATTTAACAGGCGAAGCAGATGATCTCACTACCTCACATCGAATACCATTTGCCAGTGTTGTACACACAGTGTCTATGTCCCTTTCTGACTTATGCTTCCACCTACAAAAGGTACAGATAGGACCCTAAGTGGAGTGATGTAACAGATTATCTCAGTGAAGTAGGGGAACAGAAACCTTGATTATTATTATTAACCTTTTGTTATGAAACAAAAATATGTAAAGTGGGGATGGGGATGCAAAAAGGAGTGGGTATTATACATTTGAAACCAACAGTATGACTTGTGAAGTCTCTAGTCTGCTTTGTCATTCAGTAATTGATCTTCCACCTCAAAACCATTTGTTGCTCTTTCCCCTTATCCCTTGGTTCCCTTAGTATCCAAATACAGATTGATTGCAAGGCTGTTCAGGCTGAGTCAGTGTATACTGAAAGATTGTTAATCAGGAAAGAAATCAAGGGTATAGGGAAAAGGCAGGAAAGTGGATTATTAGATCTACCACGATCTCACTGAATGCTCCTACATCTTATGTTCTTAGGGAACTTGGGCTTGAATATTATAGTGACCAAGGCTGCAGGAATGCACTGTCACTCCAGCCCCACCATTCCCTGGATTGCAACACAAAAACTCTCTTCACCAAGATAGCCAATCAACTACCTTAGCTAAACAAGGTTCTAAAAGCAAGATCTGTCAACTATGTTTCTTAATAATAAACACAACATTGGATTATCAATAAAGACGCAATTAGTTAACATGCACAGTCAGTAATATTGAAGCATTAATGCCTCACCCTTTAAACATCATCCCCAAAACACAGTTCAGGAAAAAAGAGGGGGAAAAAAAAATTACTACTGAGGTTGGGTTATTCTTGAAGGCAAAAGGATGGAGTGGATAACGTAGAGTGTTACTCTAATGAATGCTCGAGTCACCATTCACATATAGTTACCCTTGTATTTTCCACTGTCTGCAAGAATTCTATCTTGATGTTTCTTCAATCACGTTTTCTTTTCAGAAAGGAGAGGTCAGTTGGGTAGTGTGTTCTTTGCAGGTTTCCCTCCAACTGAAGCAGGTGAAACAAGCACCTCTCCAAGCCAGTCATTACCAGCCTTGTAATGTTCAGGAAGCTTTACTTAGAAAAAAATCTATAGGGGATAGAGTGAACTTCCAATGAGCTTTTCCAAAGAAATGATCAAACTTTCCACAATCATTTAAAACTCTTCCAAACAATATGAAATATAACCATTACAAAACACTCAACATCTAACAGCCACCATAGTTGATCATTCAAAAGACAACACTGGGGTAAAGAAATTTCCTCTCATCACTATCAAAATAATTGCAGGATAAAGAATTGGCTCTAATCCCTAGCATTCTGCTGCCAAAGTAAAAGCTTATTACTATCTAACTTGCCAAACTTTCAAAATTTCATTCTTCTACACACTAGAGTATAGGCGCATTTCTACTCAATCTGTCCTTTATACCCAGCTATTTTATTGAATGTTCCTATTCAGGTATGAAGAAGTTTTTCTTAAATTGCAGTGAACTTTATTACAGCAACATCAGAAGCTGATGGCAGATAGAATAGAAAGAAGAATGAAATGGTAAGCGATACACAATTGTGGGTCCCACTCATGCACATATGGAAGTTTTTGACAGAGTTGCCATTTGATTTGGACTGAAGATGGCAGCACAAAATGGCAAACAGATAATATTGAAGGAAGTGTATGTATACAGTAGTCTTTCCTGTGCATGTTAGGTCGAGTGTAGTGGTTCAGGATGTGGTAAATTGGCAAAGCAATATGGGAAATGAAGATAACTTTGCAGAAATGGCAACGTTGAGAAACCAGAAGATGAAAATCAACTAGATGTCATTGAGGAGGAGGAAGAAACAGGGGGGAACTACAGGATATGGGCCAGTTAAAGGTTCTGATTACCAGAACAGATCTAAATCCTCACCTTTAAAAAAAATTAGAATCAGCCGTTAAGAGTTAGTTAAGTGAATTCAATAAAGCAGCAGAACGAGATGGGGGTTTTTACCGAGAATACACATTCTAAGCCATATTTCTGCAGTTATGGGAGTCAATGAGAATGTAATAGACCATCTTTTTTCATTGGCGATTAATCTAAAAAGGTGATGACATAAAGCAGAAATGCTGAGCCACAGATTTTGGAGGGTCCCACTTGTATAGATAATAGACATGGTTAACAAAGTATGTTTGCTAATTGATTTTCCCAGAGTAGAGAACCTGGCATTGAGTAGCAAATAAATATTTTTAAAAGTGTAATATAAATTGCTATATATCTGTAGCATGAGAGGTATTGTGCCACGTCAGGTCAGCTTGCTTGTGTAAAGTATGAAAAACTATCTTGCAGTGAGGTA